AATCTGGATTATGGAGAACACTTTGGTTAAGATGTGTTCATAGAACTTTATGAAGCTATTTTCTTCCAGAAAAGAGCAGAAATATCTTTGGTGACTTCTCTTGATTATTTTTAAAAACATAACCAACATAAATCATAATAAGAAAAAATAGGAAGAGAGCACCGTGATTATAAGGAATTGGGGGAAAAAACAGTTCAGAAACATTGAAATCTTAGTGGGGGATCGATACAAAACTCTGCATGAAAATATTAACTTTAAACTTTGTTAGGAGTCAGAACTGTGGAGTGAAATAACTCAGTCAAAAGGGGAAAAGGAAGGTTTGCAAACGGAAATGCTGAAAGAAGTAAGCCAAAGCCATAACGTTAAATAAGAAGACTGGGACATGAAAGAATCTTATGGAATGCTCTCCCAATTTCCCTCCTTTCTCTCGTGATTTATGCCCCTTTTCCTGCATTCATAGATTGTAAATTTTCAAGAGCCTCTCGGTCATTGTTCATTTTCTCTAGATTTTATCAATCCATTGTAACAAGAAGACATTGTTACTGAAATAAAGCATTAATTCTGTCCAAAACAATGCAAACTCTTGGCAGGAGTATTGTCCATGTGCTTACAATAAGGCCTGAAGTACATCTACATCTTTTTTTCTCCTCTCTTTTGGAATTCTTCTCTGTTTAGTGGAAGAGCAATAGAAGCAAAGGTAATTTTCCCTATCTGTAATGGGGCTCCTGACCTACTCCCACCATTATTTTCTCCACAATGCTAGGCTCTCTGTGTTTGCTTTTATTGTGCAGGTCAGTTAGAAGAGAACTATGCATTTAACTTTTTAACTAATGGGGATTTTGACCAGTCTTTTGTTTTCAAGCTCATGTTTCCCAAAGCTTTAGTTGCTGAAACGTGGCTTAATTCTCCATGTTAGGTCAGACAAGGGCTTTACCATGTGCTGGTTATCTCAAGCCAGTTTACTGTCAAACTCAAACTACCCTGCTAATACGAGAGATCCTTGATTTGATCTCCTGACATAATCCCCTGACATAATTTCCTCCTTCTAAAAGCTGCTATGAAGGTGTTGATAAGGTCATGGTGCAGGAGGAGGAGGCTCTAAAGCTTTTCCTCTCCACCACGAGCCTGCTTCAAAATCGCCTTCCTGGAATGTCTATTAGCCAGGAAGAGGGGAAAATATACCTTGTGTCTACATGCATTCCCCCTTCCTGGACTGTGACCCCAGTCTGATTTGGGGAGGAAAGGTACTGCTTTTTTTAGACAAAGAAGAAATGTGAGAAACCACAGTCATGGTTCTCCCATTCACTATATAGTCTGGCATGGGTAATAAAGATTGTTATACAACTCCCCTGTCATTAATGAAAGGTCCAGACTGGAGTCAGTTGTTAGGTCATGTTGTTGTTGTTCATTCGTTCAGTCGTCTCCGACTCTTCGTGACCTCATGGACCAGTCCACGGCAGAGCTCCCTGTCGGCCGTCACCACCCCCAGCTCCTTCAAGGTCAGTCCAGTCACTTCAAGGATGCCATCCATCCATCTTGCCCTTGGTCGGCCCCTCTTCCTTTTTCCTTCCATTTTCCCCAGCATAATTGTCTTCTCTAAGCTTTCCTTTCTTCTCATGATGTGGCCAAAGTACTTCAACTTTGTCTCTAGTATCCTTCCCTCCAATGAGCAGTCGGGCTTTATTTCCTGGAGGATGGACTGGTTGGATCTTCTCGCAGTCCAAGGCACTCTCAGACTTTCCTCCAACACCACAGCTCAAAAGTATCGATCTTCCTTCGCTCAGCCTTCCCTAAGGTCCAGCTCTCACATCCGTAGGTGACTACAGGGAAGACCATGGCTTTGACTAGGCAATGGATCTTTGTTGCCAGTCTGATGTCTCTACTCTTTACTATTTTATCGAGACTGGACATTGCTCTCCTCCCAAGAAGTAAGCGTCTTCTGATTTCCTGGCCACAGTCTGCGTCTGCAGTAATCTTTGCACCTAGAAATACAAAGTCTGTCACGGCCTCCACATTTTCTCCCTCTATTTCCCAGTTGTCAATCATTCTTGTTGCCATAATCTTGGTTTTTTGATGTTTAGCTGCAACCCAGCTTTTGCGCTTTCTTCTTTCACCTTGATTAGAAGGCTCCTCAGCTCCTCCTCGCTTTCGGCCATCAGAGTGGTGTCATCTGCATATCTGAGGTTGTTAATGTTTCTTCCAGCAATTTTCACCCCAGCTTTGCATTCTTCAAGCCCCGCACATCGCATGATGTGTTCTGTATACACATTAAAAAGGTTGGGTGAGAGTATGCAGCCTTGCCGTACGCCTTTCCCAATCTTGAACCAGTCTGTTGTTCTGTGGTCAGTTCTTACTGTTGCTACTTGGTCCTTGTACAGATTCCTCAGGAGGGAGACAAGGTGGCTTGGTATGCCCATCCCACCAAGAACTTGCCACAATTTATTATGATCCACACAGTCAAAGGCTTTAGAATAGTCAATGAAGCAGAAATAGATGTTTTTCTGAAACTCCCTGCCTTTCTCCATTATCCAGCGGATATTGGCAATCTGTCTCTCGTTCCTCTGCCTTTTCTAAACCCAGCTTGAACATCTGGCAACTCTCGCTCCATGTATTGCTGGAGTCTTCCTTGCAGGATCTTGAGCATTACCTTACTGGCATGAGAAATAAGGGCCACTGTACGGAAGTTGGAGAGTCTTTCGCATTTCCCTTTTTTGGTATGGGGATATAAGTTGATTTTTTCCAGTCTGATGGCCATTCTTGTGTTTTCCATATTTGCTGGCATATGGCATGCATCACCTGGACAGCATCATCTTTTAAGATTTTAAACAGTTCAGCTGGGATCCCGTCGTCTCCTGCTGCCTTGTTGTTAGCAATGCTTCTTAAGGCCCATTCAACCTCACTCCTCAGGATGTCTGGTTCTAATTCATTCACCACACCGTCAAAGCTGTCCTCAATATTATTATCCTTCCTATACAGATCTTCTGTATAGTCTCGCCACCTTCTCTTGATCTCTTCAGCTTCTGTTAGGTCCCTGCCATCTTTGTTTCTTATCATACCAATTTTTGCCTGAAATTTACCTCCAATGTTTCTAATTTTATGGGCACATGTTAGGTCATACATGTATGATAACCATGAGTTAACCAGTACCCCTTTTGCAATAACCATCAATCACACTGCATGACAAATAAATGCAACATGATCACACACAACCCCAAGATCTGAAGTCACTGATAAACAAAAAAGAGGCCCAGACTAGGCTCACTCCCACTTGCTGTGGAAAGGGATAAATAGAGCACAGCGTTACCATTTTTGCAGCTTGTATTTCTACCTTTAATGTGCCATCTTATATTTAAACATGTTTTTGGCATTCAAATGGGGTATTTCCCACTGAGCCTTAATGAGTGGGCGACATTTTCCCATCTCCCCATCTTAGACATGAACTTTCCATTCATCTCCGCTAGAAGCCTTTCACTTGATGATTAGCAAACTTGTCCAGTCACCAGGGAAGCAGACGGTTGAAGAGAAGCTAATGAAGAACAGTCACCTCACAGGATATGTCTGTGTGTATCCTGTGCTGAGTAGTTCCAGATGGGCACAAAGCTGTTATCCTAGCTGTTTGCTGTGGAGGATATCCTATTTATTAGTCAGAACTGAGAGATAGTGGCTGTTTGCGGTCACTTTCTGTTGTTGCTGACATCCCAAGACTGTGAATCATGCCTGGCTCTGGGCTCTATGCACCTTCAGTCCCATTCTGGGCTTCTCCAGGAATGATCCAGATGGCCAGTTTTTCGGCTGAGAAGCCAATGCTGGCAGCCAGACAAAGGAATACAGCATGACTACCAGCTGTGTTCAGATATTAATTGTTTATGGTGCTAGGCATATAGGAAATAAACAGATTCCATCATGACTACTACGCTGCACATCTGGACTATCCTGATGTCATCTCGTTGATGCTGGGACTCTTTCTGGGCATGTGCTCAATCAGCTTTAGGTTAATTTCCTTTAACAGTATTCCTCAAAGACATATATGCCTTTTTCTACCTTCTATTTCCCTCCCTACATTTTCCTCCCCTCAGGATTGCTTCCAGTTTCTAACACTTCCAGTTTCTAACACTAATAAAGATCTAGACTCCCACTTGAAAAATAGTATGTGAATGACAGTTTAGCAATGTAAAAATTGAACTGAATAACTTTATTGTCAATAATAATAATAATAATAATAATAATAATAATAATCACAAGCCAGTCAAGGTGGCCCCAGTGGTGTTCAGCACACTGGGTGCAATGCCTAAAGACCTTGGCCTGCACTTAAACACAATCGGTGCTGACAAAATTACCATCTGCCAGCTGCAGAAGGCCACCTTACTGGGATCACATTTGGGCATATTGAGTATCCATGCCAAGTTTGGTCCAGATCCATCATTGTTTGAGTCTACAGTTCTCTCTGGATGTAGGTGAACTACAACTCCAAAACTCAAGGTCAATGCCCGCCTAACCGTTCCAGTATTTTCTGTTGGTCATGGGAGTTCTCTGTGTCGAGTTTGGTTCAATTCCATCGTTGATTGATTCCAGAATGCTATTTGATTGTAGGTGAGCTATAAATCCCAGCAACTATAACTCCCAAATGTCAAAATCAATCCCCCCCCCCAACCCCACCAGTATTCAAATTTGGGCATATTGGGTATTTGAGCCAAATTTTTCCCAGTGAATGAAAATACATCCTGCATATCAGATATTTATATTACAATTCATAACAGTAGCAAAATTACAGTTATGAAGTAGCAACAAAAATAGTTTTATGGTTGGGGGGTCACCCCAACATGAGGGACTGTATTAAGGGGTCACGGCATTAGGAAGGTTGAGGACCCCTGGTTTAGAACAATCACAGCTACATAGTGTAATGGGTCTTTTTCTAAGAAACCATTTCTACCAGCTCTGTTACTACTCAATATGTTTGCTGTAATGTTAGCTCATCTAATGCTGTCACTGTTTTTTGACAGGTTCGCAAGAGTCCGATAGCTCTCAGTCTGCCAAAAAAGACATGTTGGCTGCCTTGAAATCCAGACAAGAAGCTCTGGAGGAGACACTGCGCCAGCGCCTGGAGGAGCTAAAGAAGCTGTGTCTCCGAGAAGCGGTAGGTGGCAAAGGTTTTTAGAATGTGGAAAAAAGTTAAAATGGTACAGAAAGTGGAAATCTGACTGAGTTTCTGTTTGTGAAAGTGAAGGCTCAAGCACCTCCTAAAGTTGATAACAGGACTGAATTCTTAACAGAAATCCAGAAACGTTTCCCACCAATTGTCTGTTTCTATAGTGTCATTCTGGGCATTGCCAGGAAAAAGGAACATTTCAAATATAAATATAACGACTGATTATAAGGAGACACTGTTGATACATGTTTTTATTGGCTCGGTATAGTTTTTATATTATACTAGCTGTCCCCTGCCACGCGTTGCTGTGGCCCAGTCTGTTGATCTGGAAAATAAAGTAATGAAGAAGTGTTGGTTTCTAATGTATGTAATGTCTTGATGCTTGTGGGTAAACGGTATTTCTTGCTGTTTCTTTGTCAGTGTTGATGTGGAGAGCGTCTGGTTTGCCCATCCTGGAACATGCAACATATCATAGTCCTTCTTTAAGGATCCCTTTCAAATCTATCATACTATATCTGCGTGTGTGTGTGAATCATATCTATCTATATCTATGGCTGGATGGCTCTTTGTCAGGAGGGATTTGATTACGTTTTCTTGCCCTGCTGAAGGGAGTTGGACTGGATGGCCTTAAGTATTTTCTGATGGTCATGGGGGTTCTGTGTGGGAACTTTGCCCCAATTCTGTCGTTGGTGGGGTTCAGAATGTGCTGATTGTAGGTGAAATATAAATCCCAGTAACTACAACTCGCAAATGTCAAGGTGTACTTCCCCCAAACTCCATCTGTGTTCATATTTCGGCGTATTGATTACTTGTGCCAAGTTTGGTCCAGATCCATCATTGTTTGAGTCCACAGTGCTCTCTGGATGTAGGTGAACTACAACTCCCAAACTCAAGGTCAATGTCCACCAAACCCTTCCAGTTTTTCTGTTGGTCATGGGAGCCCTGTGTGCTAAGTTTGGCTCAATTCCATCATTGGTGGAGTTCAGAATGCTCTTTGATTGTAGGTAAACTATAAATCCCAGCAATGACAATTCCCAAATAACAAAATCATAATTTTTGAGTGATGGTCACTCCTTGTGTTGTGAGACGTTTTGTTGCCAAATTTGGTGTGATTTCGTTCATTGGTTCTTTTGTTTTTAAGGTACTCATTATGCACAGAGCATTTATATATATATATATATATATATATATATGGTGGTTTACAGTCAGCAACAATTCGATGCCCCAATACCATAAAATACAATTAAAAATATTTACCCTATATACACACACACACACACACATATATATGGGGTAAATATTTTTAATTGTATTTTATGGTATTGGGGCATCGAGTTGTTGCCGACTGTAAACCACCTTGAGTCGCCTTTGGGCTAAGAAAGGCGGTATACAAATATGGGAAATAAATTCTTAGATTTCTGAATTTCCACATCACAGATAAAATGCTTCTTTTGCACTAGACAGCTGCAGGTCCTGACCGCAAATGGGATCATCAAAAATTTGGCTACAGAAAAAAAAATTCTGCATGCCACAGTTGTTTTTAAACATTTTCATGAACCGTCTTTCGCTGTAAATAAGAAAATTGCACAATAAATATCAATTAATAAATACATTTTCATGAATCTGTTAGCATTAACATGCAGTGTTTACAGTGGACTTTTCAGGAAATGCTTCGGCTGTATTTCATATAAAGGAAAACCAGTGGGTTTAGTATGCCTTGCAAATGATGATTTATTATCAATAAATGTTTGATGTTATACCTATAACAGCGCTCCTTGCAGTCGTGCTGGCCACATGACCTAGGAGGTGTCTATGGACAACGCCAGCTCTTCAGCTTAGAAATGGAGATGAGCACCACACCCCAGAGTCGGACACAACTGCACTTAATGCCAGGGGAAAACCTTTACCTTTACCGATACCTATTTTATGTACTTATATACTTGGCCAGGGACATGAAAGTTATTATCAGGCAGAAAGAAGTCATGAGAGGAAAAGTTTAAGAAGCCCTGCACTAGACTGATGTAACACATCACAATTTCGCATTTATCTCCTCTGATTCCTCACCCATCCTTAAGGCAGATGCACAACAGAAAACTATTCAGAGAATTCAGTTCTGTTCGGACTGTGTGTCATTGTGTTGTATAGGGAAAGCAACAAAGGTTTGGTAAACCCCCAGGTTTACAAAAATACCTCCCAATAAAGAACAAAAATAAAGGATTGTAAAACACCCCATTTTGGACAGCCTTTCAAAAAGGAAATCTTGGTTAGTAGTACTGAACTCCACACATAAAAGAGTTCTCCTTTTATGCTAGAAGAAGTCATCTCATGTGGCAGCCAAGAAAGTTTCAGTGCCAAAGAATACTTGAAATGGATTAATTTTTGACATTGTTGGTATAAGCTTTAGTCATGCCTCTACAAGAAAAACAGGATGGCAGGGTGCTATAAAGATGAGATCTTTTTATGATGATATGTTTTCAGTTGCAGATATTTTTTAACATTGGGGTGTTAATTTAAGTTGCCTTTGATTCAATTGAGTTAATACGAACATAAATCAGTTTTGATTTATGAAACAGCAAAGCCCTGCCTGGAGTCATCATACGTGCCAGGTGATATTTGTATGAAATTGCTTAAATTGCACATTCCCAACGTCATTGCTTTATAGTAATGGACAAAACTTATTTAAACAGACATATGGAAAATAGATTTAATTTGGCTTGTCTATTATTATTATTATTATTATTATTATTATTATTATTATTATTATTTGAAACACAACAAGATGAGTCCACAGCAGACAGTCTGCTGGCTGTTGTATTGAATCACACGTCGGACACTTCCCAAGTGTCTAGGACTGTGTGATGTATCAGATAATGCGTGCAGATCCCAGTAAGATGGCCTTCTGCAGCTGGCAGATGGTAATTTTGTCAGTGCCGATTGTGTTTAAGTGCAGGCCAAGGTCTTTAGGCACTGCACCCAGTGTGCCGATCACCACTGGGACCACCTTTACTGGCTTGTGCCAGACTCTTTGCAATTCGATCTTTAAATCCTCATATCGTGTCAGCTTTTCCAATTGTTTCTCTTCAATCCTGCTGTCACCTGGGATTGCAACATCAACAATTCATACTTGGCTTTTCAACACGATTGTGAGGTCAGGAGTATTGTGGTTTAAAACTCACGATGTCTGAATCCACAAGTCCCAGAGTAGGTTGATGTTCATTCTCTGTAACTTTTTCCAGCTTGTGATCCCACCAGTTCTTTGTCGCAGGCAGATGGTATTTGTGGCACAAGTTCCAATGAATCATCTGAGCAACGGTGTTATGCCTCTGCTTGTAGTCTGTCTGTGCGATCTTCTTGCAGCAGCTGAGGATGTGATCTATTGTTTCATCTGCTTCCTTGCAGATTCTACATTTGGGATCTGTTGTCGACTTCAGTTCTGACTTTGATGGCATTGGTTCGACTTCAGTTCTGACTTTGATGGCATTGTCCTTATTTATTATTATTATTAGTATTATTATTATTATTATTATTATTTACTTTATATCCAAGTCAGTGATGGCAATTAAAAACAACAACAAAATCTTGGGGAAAGGGACAAATTGCTTCACACAATTAATGAATCACAGGATTTTTTTTTAGCCATTAATCATTTGATTAATCAAATCTTGCTCATGCATTATCAACCAGATCGTTGAAGACACAAAACCTTCAATTTTCAAATAGAAATTGATACTTTTATGAAGCTAGATTCTGTACCCACTGTAATATTCTATTTTCTTGTAAATTTAGCATTTGTTGTTAGTTTTCAAAAATGTCCTCTGCTTTTTTTGTCCTGAACTCTACCCAAGTAAGAAATGACACGGAAATCAGTTTTTCAACAATGGTTTAAAACGGAAATATTTGACGTGTTGAAACTTATGTGAAACTTCTATTTCTTTCAGAGGTTATAAAGAACAGTTTGTGTATGTGTATGCCTTCAAGTACCTGTCAACTTAGCCACATTTCTATAATTTTGCTTAAAATGTGTCTATGTGCATGTAAGAAACTTAGGTCTTCGTGCTCTCAGCCTCTCCCTTCAGCCTCCCATAAATCAGTATTTGCTTAGTTTCCTAGGGGAAATGCTGCCTTATAATGAGGCTGACAGACTGAGAAAAAAAATGAGTTAAAAGCCTGGGGGTAACCACACTGAGTGTGACCCAAACAAATTTGCAACAGTGGCATCAGATTTCTGCAGGGTTTGGTTACTTATTAGTTCAGCTGAAATTTCAGGAGCAAATTGCTAACATTCTTTGTTTTAATGGGATGAGGATGGTCGCTCAGTCCGTTGCTCTTTTTTAAAGAAAAGACAATGAACTGACCCGGACTGGACCTTGGACTTTGGATTTTGATTTTAAATATGGTAAATACCTTTTTGAGTTTCAGAGTATTGAAAATACTCTGTTTTAAATCAATTGTTTAATTACTGTTTTTAATATTTTAAGGTATTGCTGATTGTTGATGGTTTTTATGACATTTGGCATCCTATGGCTTTGACTCAGAGCAATGGGTTCCAAGTTCCACCCGCCTGTGGAACTCGCTTCCCACCGAAGTAAGATCAGCTTTGTCCCTCCTGTCATTTAGGAAGAAATTGAAGTTGTGGTTCTGGGACCAGGCTTTTGGACAACAGGCATGATAGTACTTTGGATATGGAAATGACTGGAATGGTGATACGGCTTTTAATACTGTTTTTACTGTTTTAATGAATGTGTTATTCATTTGTTTTAATTGTTATTAAATTGCTCTGTCATATGTAGTGGCATCAAAATGCTGCCAAATGTAAGCCGTCCTGAGAGTCCCCCTTCGGGGGTTGAGAAGGAACGGTACAGAAATGTTGGAAATAATAAATAAATAAATAAATAAATAAATAAATAAATAAATGACAGGAGATGAGATTCCACTTAATGTATTGTCGAAGGCTTTCATGGCCGGAATCATTGGGTTGTTGTAGGTTTTTTCGGGCTATATGGCCATGGTCTAGAGGCATTCTCTCCTGACGTTTCGCCTGCATCTATGGCAAGAAAATCCAACAAATGCTATGTTCAGCAAAGGACAAGAGGGATCCTCTCACTTCTGCAGGAGTCTACCGTGTACCATGCAGCTGTGGACAAGTCTACATAGGGACCACCAAACGCAGCATTGCCCAAACACGAATCAAGGAACATGAAAGGCACTGCAGACTACTTCAACCAGAGAAGTCAGCCATAACAGAGCACCTGATGAACCAACCTGGACACAGCATATTATTTGAGAACACAGAAATGCTGGACCACTCTCACAACCACCATGTCAGACTACACAGAGAAGCCATTGAAATACACAAGCATGTGGACAATTTCAACAGAAAGGAGGAAACCATGAAAATGAACAAAATCTGGCTACCAGTATTAAAAAACTCTAAAATTACAACAGCACAACAACAGAGAGGAAACAAACAAGGACATCTAATCACCTCTCAACAAAAGTTTGCTCCAGGCACTGTCAGGCCATTATATGCTAATCAAGGTGGTCAGTTGAAACATTAACACCTAGCTCCAGCAGACAAGAGTCCTTTGTCCCACCCTGGTCATTCCACAGATATATAAACCCTTTTTCCTAGTTCCAACAGACCTCACTACCTCTGAGGATGCTTGCCATAGATGCAGGCGAAACGTCAGGAGAGAATGCCTCTGGACCATGGCCATATAGCCCGAAAAAACCTACAACAACCCAGTGATTCCGGCCATTAGGAAGAACTTCCTGACTGTAAGAGCTTTTCAGCAGTGGAACTCCCTGCTATGGGGTGTGGTGGAAGCTCCTTCCTTGGAGGCTTTTAAACAGAGACTGGATGGCCATCTATCAGAGGTACTTGGATTGTGCTTTTCCTGCAGATCAGGGGGTTGGACTAGATGGCCCACGTGGTCTCTTCCAACTCTATTATTCTATTATTCAGAGTCCATTTTTTTTGCACAAAATCTTGTGGTTTGCATGCCAACAGCAACATGTATTTGCTTATGATTTCCCTTCAGAGTAAACTTCAGGTTCAGAAACACCAGGAGGCTCTTCTCTCCTGCAGATAAGGAGTGTGCCTACCTATTCAGTTAGAACAGGGGTCCTCAAACCTTTTAAACAGAGGGCCAGGTCACAGTCTCTCAAACTGTGAATAAATAGTCAAGCTTGAGATGGAGAATGACCCAGGAACGGCCAAGACGATGAAACGGATGAGGATTGGAACGAGAGGATATAGCTCTTTTTTGTCTAAATGCACTTGTTTTTGCTTTTTGAATGTATGTATTGATGGCATCAAATTGTGCTGATATGTAGACCGCCCTGGGTTGCCTGCGGGCTGATATGGGCGGGATATAAACAGAGGGCCAGGTTACAGTCCCTCAAACTGTTGAAGGGCCGGATTATAATTTGAAAAAACATGAATGAATCCCTATGCACAGTGCACATATCTTATTGTGTAGTGCAAAACACTTTAAAAAAATACAATAATTAAAATGAAGAACAATTTTAACAAATATAAACTTATTAATATTTCATTGGGAAGTGTGGGCCTGCTTTTGGCTGATGAGATGGGATTGTTGTTGTGTGCTTTCAAGTAGTTTCAGACATAGGTTGACCATGAGCAAGGGCCGGGTAAATGACCTTGGGGGGCCGTATCTGGCCCTCAGGCCGTAGTTTGAGGACCCCTGAGTTAGAAATATGAATCTGCCATGTTCCCAGAAGCCTTGGTAAATAGGAGCTTTGCTCGCAGTGGATGTGCCTGTGGTCTTGCATTCACTGAAGTCACCTAGTGGATTTCATATACATGTGCCTATATAGGTCTGCATTATCTGTGTATTTTGATAGGGTTCCATTTGGCAGACTAGCAATCCAGCACAGTATCTAATTTTGTGTTTAAATGCTTAGGCTAAGCAGTAAAAAGGACTTGACCTCCTCTCTGGGTGATCTAGAAAGAGGAAAGGAGTGAAAATGTTCTGTTGAGCTGAGCGGAGGGCTGTGTGGAACCTCGCTTGTCAGTACACATTAGGGTCAATCACCATTATGTGGTTTTTGTAGATTTGGGATTGGAATCTCTTAATGCTAGTGTTGTAGGAAGGATACAAAGCCTCTTTTCAACTTTTGCAAAAAGTTTTTTTTTGCACACGCGTAGGGCTTTTCCCTACCACGGTGCCATCATGGTAGCATTCAAATGTCTTTACATCCCTGTGTAAGCCAGCTGTCCTGCACATGCCATCAAAACCCTTTCAGTTTAGCATGGCATAATTAAGCATAAATTCAAAGTCTTCTATGAACTCGAAATTGCCTTTATTTTAATTGAATGAGTATATAGCACGTGAATATAAAAAGGTATTGTTTTATTAGAAGTAGTAGTAGTAGTAGTACATCAACTACTATTACTGCAAAATCTTTAGAGTCACTAATTCAGCCAACCTTTTTCAAATTACTAGTGTATTTACTCAAGTCTAATGCACCATCAAATCTAATGCGCACCTTAATTTTCAATACTCTGAAACTCAAAAAGATATATACCATATTATGCAAATCTAATGTGCACCCTAATTTTAGTTTTTAAAAATGTGAGCATTAGATTCGAGTAAATACAGTATTAGATTTAGATAGTAGGCATTTGCTATCTCCAGCCAGATTACTCACGAGAGCGTCATACAGGGAACATACCACCCCTCTGTTATGTCAGCTCTACTGGCTGCCAATCCAGTTCCGAGCACAATTCAAAGTGCTGGTTTTGACCTACAAAACCCTATACGGCTCCGGCCAGCGTACTTGTCCGAACGTATCTCCTTCTACGTCCCACCTCGGAGTTTAAGATTTCTGGGGAGGCCCTGCTCTCGGCCCCACCTCTATCACAAGTGAGATGGTGGGGACGAGGAGCAGGGCCTTCTCGGTGGTGGCCCCTCGCCTGTGGAATTCGCTTCCCGGGAAATTAGGTCATCGACATCCCTCCTCTCTTTTAGAAGGAAACTAAAAACATGGATATGGGACCAGGCCTTTGGGTAATCTGGCAGATAAAAAGGACAATGAGACTAGAATTGATAGGATTTGACAATGTGGAATGAACTTACGGATTCTGAGCTTGGCGAACGTTGAACATTAGATTGGTTTTATTAATTATGGTGTGTAACTGGACTGTTTTAATTGTTTTATAATTGCTGTTGATACATGTTTTATTTTTATTATCTGTTTTGTTGGCATCGAATTGTGCTTTTTGTAAGCCGTCCTGAGTCCCCCCTCGGGGGTTGAGAAGGGCAGGGTAGAAATACGCGAAATAAATAAATAAATGTGCGAGCCATTAAAAATAATTCTAAAGTACTTACAGAACTGGGGTGCTAAAGTGTTTCTAAAGTGTTTCTAATGTTTTGGAGGTGATAATTTTGGAATGCTAACGACACTTACGAAACTTACAAGGACTTCCAAAAAAATGCACATACCTACTTAGATAGTGCTACCAAATAACTAGTATTTTACAGGGTAACAAAAAAAAACTAGAAGACTTTCCTGTTGAAAAAATATAATTTTGATCTAAATGTAAGGAAATGATTGGGTGACACAATGAAAGGAAGACAGAGCCATGGCTAAGGGGATGGATACAAGTACGTATAGTTGTGCATTTTTAGGTATTGTTTCACATGGAGGGGAGGACAAGTGGGTTAATTCCTATACTTAGAGAATGGCATTGTTGTAAGCTCAGAAATGAAGGAAGTGAGGAATTAGGATGGAAGAATTTTGAAGCTGGATTTCCAAAGAAAATGTTCACCACCATCATTATGACTTCAATGAATGTATCTCAGAAAGCTGATGAGTTTACTGTGTTGGTCATTTTAGTATCTCAGCAATTCAGTGCAGGTTCACTAAATATGAAATCAGTGTATTGAAAATCAATTTGAATATTTGTCAGTCAGTCAAAGAGCAAAGACTATTTATGCTATGCTGTTACTTGTATAAGATCCACTTGGTGCATATAATTATTCTCACACAGCTAACTTCTAGTGTTTTACGTATGTTTTCAGGAACTTACAGGAAAGTTGCCAAGAGAATACCCCCTCGACCCAGGGGAAGAGCCCCCAATGGTGCGAAGAAGAATAGGTACTTCCTTTAAACTGGATGAACAGAAACTCCTGCCAAAAGGAGAGGTAAGGGATCTACCTGCTTGTCTGTCAGTCTATCAGATGTCTCGACCCAGTTTTATATCGCCAGTACTAAAACAATGTATAGTAAAGTGTTTAATTTAAAATTATGATTAAAAACAAAGCTGCATTAGCCAGGAAAAGTTTGTTTAAAAAGGAAGGTTGTCAACCAATCTCATCTGGAAGGGCATTCCTATAGGAAGGAAGTCAGATCATGGAAGGCCCTGGTTCAGGAGGAACAGATCCAGCCCTCTTCTACGTTTCTTTTGGGGCATCATTTTATGCCAGGATCTGGAATCAATTGTTATCACTGGGTGCCTTTAGTTCACTTATCTGCATCCATGATTACACAACCATTTTTTTGGTGGGATGTGGTCCCCTTTGCTGAGCTATGGGACCATGTTTGGGATGTCTTACTCCTCGTGTTTGCACCCGCCTCTTGTAATTGTTGTGTAGATGGTAATAGGTTGTTTGTAGTGATGCCATTAGAGCTTAAATGTCTCAGCTGAGTATAATTGTTGTTTGGGGACTCTGGTGTTTCTCGTGGATTTTGTGTCATGTTGATCCCAGGATTCCCTAAATTTGAGGAATCCTGATTGTTTCGGGCAACTTGTTGGGAGGATTCATCAGGTTCTTGGCTCTCAGCTTGGGAGACTCTGATCTGATCGTTTTTTAGATAAGGAGAGATTTTCATCTGGCCCTTAGGATTCTTTTTCCTCTTTCCGGGTGGCAGAGCATCTGTATCTTTTATGTCTTTAATACCTTTAATCATTTTGTCCAAAGTCCTTTTTCTTTTCCTTGGTCTTTGTTCAAGGGTGGAGGATTCTGTGAGGTGAACTATGGCCTGCACCTCTTGTTTCGAGTCCTTACAGGAGTTGGACCTAAGGGCTAGAGGGCCTTCCTTCCCATTGATGCTAGAGTATTGAGATGATTCTGAAGTCGTCTCCGGCATCAGCTCTTGGTTGCACTCCTCATTTATTTTCAACTGTTCTTCAGTTCTTGTTATTGGTGATTTTGGATGATTATCGGAGGCAGATATCGACCTCTGTGTGAGCTCCTGGGGCATTGTCAATGGAGGTTGAAGGGATTCAGTTTGAGCGGAAGGGCCATTTGTTGCTGTTTGACCTTTTTTGGAATGAGAGTTTTTCAGGAGGGGTTTGGCACCGCATCTCTTTAAAGGACCTTTTTACAATGATTCCATAGGAGCATCTAAGGTGGTCTCTTATTTTTAATATATTTTGAGTAAGAAATTCATCTTGGAAGGTGATAACTGCCCTTTTATAAAAGCTGTCACTGGGCAGCCAGAATGGTGGCAGAATATCCTTTGGCTTTAATTCTCTCTGTAGGATGCTGCTAAGAGATGTCAGAATCCTATTTTTACTGAAATTTCTGAAAATGAAAGCTTAGATCATCAGCTTGTTTGTGTCTGAAACTGACTAATCTGTTTCTACAAATCTCTGATTCCCACCCAGAAATCAGTCGTTTTGTTTTGTTTTCCCTTTACATTTCTTGTGGTCTGTGTTGATCTGAATACATGTAAGTTGGCTCATATTTGATCAGTCATTGCCTTCTCTTCTTATGTACACCATGAATGGAATTATTTCATTTTATGTAAAAACAAGTCCAGGTCCAAACTAGGAGGAACGGACTTTGGTTCAGCAGTGATCCAAATTTAAGTCTCCAGAGTTTGATCCACTATCCTGGATCATGCATCCAAATGAAAACAGAAAATCTAAATTCTAAATCTCTGTCATCTGGGTCAACCGTTATTATATTGGATATTTTACTGGATGTTTTCAGCTCATAATATTTTTTTCAATTTGCTTACCAATAGCAAAAGGAAAGTAAAATGGGCAAGGATAAATCCGTTCACACCCAGTAGCATGGGTATCATAGCTTCTATTGTTTACCTGTGATTGCAGACCAAAGGCACTGTACTCTCCCATACCTTCCTAAACAATGAAAGCCTCATTCTAACCCAATCTGACTCTAAGAAAAGTTGATTTTTATTTCTCTAAGTTAGACTGGGTGTGTTTGTTTTACAGTGTCCTCCTTTATGTAGGTGCTGTGCTCTATAAAAACAACCATGTAACACCCAAAAGGCAGGGCTAGAATTCTCACAAAGCCCTCATTGTCAGAATTTACTTGACTTAAATCTGTGAATTGGTGTACGCAAGCATGTGTGTGTGTATGAGGGCTAATTTTTCTCAATGTTTGTATGCTGTTGTGGGTAGTGTAGTTCAGAGAGCCAAGCAAAAGGTGGGGAGAGAAGGAAGACATGTTTTAACATGGTCATATATTCAGTAAAATAGTGAGGGTGGGTTTCTTTGAAAGACACCCCCCCCCCCTTAGGTTAAACTGCTAAGCTACTGAACTTGCTGACCAAAGGGTTGGCGGTTTGAATCCAGGGAGCAGGGGTGAGCTCCTGCTGTTAGCCCCAGCTTCTGCCAACCTAGCAGTTTGAAAACATGCAAATGTGAGTAGATCAATAGGTACTGCTTCGGTGGGAAGTTAATGGCATTCCATGCTGTCATGCCGACCACGTGACCTTGGAGGTGTCTACAGACAACAGTGGCTCTTCAGCCTAGAAATGGAGATGAGCACCACCCCCAGAGTCGGAACGACTAGACTTAATGTCAAGGGAAGCCTTTACCTTTAAAGAAGCTAGACATAAACACACAGAGTATTTAACTACATTGGTTACACAAACAAAGGGGATATTCCATTTTACTCAGCATTCACACACATACACATGCATACATTCATTCTATATGCATACATTACCATCCCTTCTCCCTTCTTCTAGAGAAGAGACCTACAAGTGGGCCGGATTGCATTCCCCACAAATCGGATATACTGTTGCACTACAGAACAGGAATAGCCCTCTGACTTTAAAACACCACACGTTGAGTAGGAAAAACAATCCTTTTTTATTGAAGATAAGTAAAAACAGCAAAGTAGAAAAACGCTTTAAGGGAATAGATAAATCCAATTAGGTTAGAAGATTTCTCTAATCAAATCCAAAGAAACAGGGAAACGTTGATCCAAGGCACTCACAAGAGACAAAGAGTCAAACCGTTCAGCAAGAAATCCTTAAATGTTAATCTTCCAGGCAAGGCTTTCATGAGACAAGAACAAGAACTTAGCAGGGATCTGAAACGATGCTTCATCTGACTATATTTCACATGGTTGGAACTTTATATTGGTTTCATTTTCCCTGAATACCTCTCATCCTTATCTGACGAAGTCTGGCTGAACGCCGAAGGCCTTGGCTGCTGTCTGTTTTGGCTAATTTCCACCTGCCTGTCTATATGCTCATTAGTTTCTCCAGATGTCGAGTTGTTTTCAAGCCCCAAATCCTGGGAACTCTCTGGGAGCAATTCAGAGAGTAAACTATCATCCCTACACCCTGTAGGAACATTCTCATAGGAAACTACACTTTGAACCCGCGTCTCTATGTCATTATCTGCATTATATCATTTACCAAACCATTGCCATCTTGACCCTCATTGACATCATTCCCCACATCTAAAGCACCTTGATCTTGAAACACTATCACAGGCTGAACTCCAACATATACTTCCTTTCTCCTTCCCTTGGAAAAAAAGGCAAACGTACAGACTGCATTTCTGCAGTCTGCCACACTTTTGAAAAGTAAAAAAGACCTCTTATATAGCAATTTTTTGCTGCTGTTTTTCCAGATTGATTAACTTATTAACCAGCTAAAACATGCTGACCCCATCAGTTCTGGACAGATGTTGGTTTTCCTTCTTAACGGAAGGAACCATTGTGTTGACTTCCTTAACTTAAAGAATCATTGTCTTTGACTATGTAAACATGTTGTTTTTAACCACAGTTCAACAGGTCAACAATGTCAGCAGTTTCTCATCAGCAACTTTTAAATCACAGTTCAGCAATTCATGAATTCTTCACCTCCTTTTGCAGTTTTTCATCATTCTGTTTTTGGCCTCAAACTTACTCCAATCATCCAATTTCATTCAATCCTCACATCGTATTTATCACACTTAGAAATGCTGGGAGTTACTATTCAACAACATAGGAGCCTCCGGTGGCGCAGTGAGTTAAACCCCTGTGCCAACAGGTCGCAGGTTCGAATCCAGGGAGAGGCGGATGAGCTCCCTCTATCAGCTCCAGCTCCTCATGTGGGGACATGAGAGAAGCCTCCCACAAGAATGATAAAAACATCAAATCATCCAGGCATCCCCTGGGCAACGTCCTTGCAGACGGCCAATTCTCTCACACCAGAAGCTACTTGCAGTTTCTCAAGTCGCTCCTGACATGACAAAAAAAATCAACAACATTTAGATGCTGCACAATTTTCTAACATGCTCAACAGTGTATGACTAGGTAGTTAGAATATTTGCAGAGTTGTCTTGAATAAAATTTCCTAACATTGCTTGATCCTATCAGCTCCCCCAAAAATATGCTTTCACCAGGAAATTACCACAAAATGCCAAATGAAAGACATAAAATACACACAAACCATTTTAAACATTGTCCTTGACTGAATCACAGAAGCTACCAGATTTTGAATCACCTCTGCCACTTGCAAAAGGCTTCACTCATCATTTGGTCTTAAACTGAAGCTGGAAAGGAAGTCCTTATGAATATGGAAACATTGAATGTGAAAGATGGCTGTTTGCCTAAAGCATCTTCCTGAATGTATAGCTGCTTGGAGTTGAACGCTTGGAACGTTTCGGCCTCTGTGACTTGCACCATGCTGCATCTCCATAAAAATTGAAATGTTCCTGGATAAATATGGATGGTTTTATTTGTTTGTTTGTTTGTTTTTGTTTTGTTTTTGCTTCTAAGATGCTTCTTCTAAGGTGCACTGGTTATATGAGGGATTATCCTATTTCTCCCTCACAACACATTTTTAAATTAGGGAAAATGTAAGGTGGTAAAGGCCATCCATCCAACCAGATATTTAAAGTCACATAAGACGCCAGCACTGTCTGCTGTTTATTATTTACTAGCTTGGGGAC